GCCGGATGGAGGGACTCTATTATGAAGGAGGTCCCTATGGGGATTTCTGAAGGGGCTGCAGGATTTAAACAGAACAATGGAAGCCAGAGGGTCTTCTTGGAGATCTCTCATCCATAGGGTCACCATGAGTTGAGATCAATCCAAGGGCAATTAACAACAAAAAGACATCGGTATCGATTGGGTTATGTGGATTTGGCTTGGGTGGGTCAGATGCTACTCTTGTTGTCCAGAAAAGTGATGCTCCTTTGATTTATTCTTGGTGTGTGTACCTGGTTACCAAGGGTTACAAGAGGCTTAGTTCTATTTTCTTCTGCGTCTCCTGGTCATCGATATTCCGGTAAGAAGAATGGGGCTGTGTTCAAGCAACTCCATGAAGAAAGGGGAGCTCGAAGAATATCAGGTGAGCAGGCACCAGTCCCACAAAGCCCCTCATTCATCATCCCCACCATCATCTCAAAGATCATATCATCATGTCTCTAGCTCAGTGCAGTGATTCCCAAACTCTGGCCTTCCAGGTGTTTTGGACTTTGGCTCCCCAAATCCCAAACAATTAGCTAAGATGGCTGAGGCTTCTGGGAGCTGAAGTCCAAAACATCTGGAGGACCAGCGTTTGGGAATCACTGACCTGGAGCACGCTCACCAGGTAGCTGTCCAGATTTCTTGTGAAGATGTCCAAAGAAGGAGAAAATCACTTCTCAAGGCCAATGGTTCCACTGCCCAGCTGCTCTCGCTCTCAAGAAGTTCCTCCTTAAAAGTCCTTTCACTCCAAACCTAACACAAAATTTGGTCGCCATTCTTTATGAAGAAAAAAATAATAATGGTTCCCATTCTTTTTTAAATCCACCCAAAGATTTCTTCTTAATCCGATGAGTCAATTTATCAGTCTCCATACAGTCGGATATTTTCATTAACCAAGTTCTTACGTTGGGGCATTCATTACTCTTCCACTTAGCTGCATATACTATTCTAGCTGCAGTGGTCATATAAAATAGCAATATTTCCCATATTTTTGTTCCAATCTCTCATTTGTGATCATTCCCAATAAATACATTTTGGGATCTAACTGATCCTCAAATTCCACAATTTCCCTTACTTGACAACCTTGTCAATGGGGAATATCTTTATCTTTACCATAAGTGATTAAAGAACAAACCACTAAGAAGTCCCTGTCTCCCTTGTTCCCAGCAGATAGAGTCATAGGATCATAGAATTGGAAAGGGACTCATGGGCCATGGAGTCCATTCCCCTGTTCAGGCAACCTGTTTCATTGCTGAGCTACTCTTGCGGTCAAGACGCTCCTCCTAATATTCAATCAAAATCAACCCTCCTCTAACTTCAGACCATCAGACCTGGTCCTGCCCTGTGGAACAGCAAAGAACAGACCTGCCCCTTCCTCTCTGGGAAATAACATATTATTATTATTATTATTATTATTATTATTATTATTAT